AAAAAAAAAAAGGTATAAAAATAAAGTAAATAAAGCTTTTTTCCACTGTTAAGAGTGCGGAGTTGTCTGTCAGGGTTAGGGTTAGGTTTTAGCATTCATAACTGTGTATAGACGGGTAAATAAGCAGGTGATGAGTGTCGTGTGTCTCACTAGCGTCCTCTGCTGGATTCTGTCGCACTCACATTCGTCTGTTTTGCAGTTATGCACAGAACACGGCGTCCCAGGATTCAGCAAATACAAAGTGTTTGACGCCAAACGTGAGTCTGAGTTCTGCTGAAATGTAGAAATGTCTGTGATGTGTTTGATCTGCCGTGACGTGTGTGTGTCTGGATCCGCAGCCAGCTCAAAGACCATCTCTGGCCTGCTGGAGTTCGACAGTAAGACTCACGCCGTGGAGGTTCTGACGGTCCTCAACCACTATCAGATCCGGATCCCCAGTGAGTGACCACCAAACCGTCAGATGTTAGCACAGGAACGATGGAATTAGAAAGACAAATATTTAGTGTTTTTTTTTATTGTTACATCAGTAATACAGAATATTTCAGTCAATTATGAAATATATTTCGGATAATAATATCATTATGAATCAGTCTCAGCTGTATTTTATTCTGTGTGAAACTGAATTTAACTGTATCAGTTTCAAACTTACAGAGGATGCCATTAAAACCCTGCTGAACTGAAAATCCTAATGGTTTCCACTACAAATACCATTACAAACCATCAACTTTTAACCATTAAAACCATTAAAACATGGTTTTCTCTAGTGTGTTTTGGGACATGGTCCATTAGGATTTAGTGGCAAGGGTTCACTGATGCTCCAGAAGAAAACACGACGCATTGAGAGCCGGGGGGGTGAAAACTTTTGAACAGGATGGTGATCATGGGGGATTTTTTCTTAGTTTATTAAATGTCATGTATTTTTCATGTCGTACTGCCCTTCAGAAGCTCCGGGTGATCCAGGTGATGTTTCCCAGAAGACAAACTATGAAAAATTTACACATCGTCATTCTGTTCAAAAGTTTTCACCCCCGGCTCTCAATGCGTCGTGTTTTCTTCTGGAGCATCAGTGAACCCTTTTTCTTACACAAATCATAAATGAAATAAAGGTCTGTGCTGGGAAAAAAAACAATAGACACAGTGGTTTTACTGGTCGTCGTGTTTTTGAACAGAATTATAATGATGTCATTTTTTCTTAGTTTGTTTAAATATCATATTTTTTCATCTGGCACTGCCATTCAGAAGCTCCAGGCAATGTTTACACGAAGACAAACTAAGAGAAGTGTTCAAAATGCTCTCAATGCATCAGTGAACATCTGAGGCTTTTGGAATAGATGCACATGAGTCCTTCAGTTGTGTTTTGTATGATCCCTCTCTTAAATAATGAACATTTAGCAGATTCTGTGAAGGTTTGAGCGCAGCTGTAGACAGAGCAGATGAGCTGAAGCTGAGCGTTTGTTTCGTGTTCATCGCGTGTTTTGTTGTTGTTTTTCAGACGGTTCGAACCCGTACACACTGAAGCTGTGCTTCTCCACCTCCTCACACCTCTGAGCCGGAGCGACTGACACCACCATCTTCATCATCATCTTCATCCTCCTCACCTCCTCCTGCTCCTGCTGCTCCTCTCAGACCCGACTCTCCTTCGGTTTTAGTCCTCTTTAGTTTTTCATCTGTCACACACACACACACACACTCACTCACTCACACACACTCACTCACGCACGCACGCACGCACGCACGCACACACACTCACTCACTCACTCGCACACACACACACACTCACTCACTCAGACCAGCCGATATATGACTACTAGTTAGTTTGTAGTTAACTCGGTTTGCACCATTAGTTCAGCTCATAATCTCTCTGTACAGTACTGTAACATGAAGTGATGCTCACCTTTACGATCCACTAACAGAGTTTCTGCAGGTCTGATATTTTTACTTGTTTTAAGCAAAAACTAACAACATTTGGATAATATTTTCAGAAAACATGAAAGTCATTTTACTTGTCAAGTAAACGCATCTTAATTCCAGAATTTGTAGATATTTATACTAGAAAACTAGACAAAGATACTAAAGAAGAAAATCATTTTTTGCCGTGTAAAACTCGTTAGAATGGTCTGCAAATGTAGATGTCTAGAGAGCAAAAAAAATGGGTTGTTTTAGCAAGAGTTTGATCTCTATTATTTTTAATTGATTTTACTAAAAATAACTTTAACTAGAATACGGAAATAACTGTTATTTCTGATCACACTGCTGCTGAATTTAAGATTCTCAAATCAAGATACATTTACTGCAGAAACTAAATTGCTTAAAATAAGAAGTCTTGTTTTCTGAGAAACTGAATCAAGATCAAGTGAGTTTATGATTTAAAGAAGAATAGAGAAATCCTCATTGGCAGATATTTGTTCTTGTTTTAATCATAAACTCTTTTGATTCAGATCAGACCTTCATTTTGCACGTCCAGTAAATGCATCTTGATTTTTAAGCATGTTTAAAACGAGACAAAAATGCAGCAGAGTGTATGCAACATTTAATGCCATGACTTTATGAACTAATATGAATTATGAAGACGTTCTGCTCTGATTTAAAAAATGAGTTAAATTGAATTACAAGTGAATTACAACTTCATGAGACCTGCAGAAAGCTTGATGTGAAGCCTTCAGGTCTGTGTTGAAGTGTTAGTTTGATCTAAATGCAGTCAGTGTTTTCTCTTCACTCAGCTGTCAACATTTATTCAACTGAAAACAAGACAAAAATCATCACAAAATAAAATCATGTTTTCAAATGTGTAAATAATATGAAGGAGCTGTATCTAAAATTAGCAAAGGGCAATAAACAAATACTAATTCAACACATTTTTATAAATTGACATCTTTATTTTAAATATTTTCATTTGTTTTATGTGTTGAAACCGGACACACTGACATGCAGCATTTCAATAGAGTTCATGATTAAGGCTGTTATTCACCTAATGATTTCTTTTGTGAATGTCTTCATCATCATCATCATCATCATCGTAATCATACTGAAGTCTGTGATCATGTCATCAGTCTGCTCTGAGGCTTCAGCTAATGTTTGGTTTATCTGTGGAGTTGCACTGTAATCGAGTTGAACGGGTCAGCGCTGCATTAGTAACGTGAGCTGGTGCTGATGGGCTGGTGTGTGTCTGGGTTCTTCAGCGGCTGCAGCGAGAGGAACGTGATGAGCTTCATGTGTGTAACTGACACATCAACACAGCAGTTCAGTGTGAGCATGTGCTGCCATTAAACACCTGCAGGTCACATGACTGTCTGTCATTCATCACACATGAGACACAACCTGACCGAACACACCGCTCCAACAACACAACATGATGACTGTGTGTGTGTGTGTGTGTGAGAGAGAGAGTGTGTGAGTGTGTGTGTGTGTG